CTCTGTGGGGGTTGTTGGGTTCTTGTCCTTGTGGCTGATCTAGTGACTTCTACTACTAGTGACTCCTACGCTCATCTTAACTTGGACTTTAGATTGATATTGGTATACAGTATATTATAATTCTGAATTACGCCTCTAGGTACGAAAAGCTTCAAGGAGCATGGTCACCGAATGCTGTTAATCTGGCTTCATGGAGTCGTGGTGGCGGGGGAGAACCCGATCAAAGGCCTCTACGAGGGGCTGGTGGAAATCTCACGGACAGACTTGGCAGGTGAGCCCATCAAATTATTGTTTGTATTCTTGTGTAACTGTCTATCAGTGCTATATGGAGCTCCGCAAGGTTACGTAGGGAATTTATTTTGTTGCATACTTTTGCACTCTCTCGCAATACGTTTCAGGATTCCCTCTGATCCATTGAGCTGATTATGTAATTGTGGTTAAGACAGATCTCTGACCAACTGCTGCTGCGTTGTATAAAAGTTACTGTATTCCTGAACTCTTGTGATGTATTGATGATGCAGTTGTCAAATCTGATGTGTGAAGGTGGTTTTGAGGAATAAAATAAAAATTATTGCGAGGGAACGCAAAAGACTGGCCTGTTTTGTGCTTCTCCATTTCCTGTAAGGTATAGTCTGTCAGGTGGTGGGTCTGGAATGTGTAGGTGCATGATGTCTCCTTGTTGTTTTTAATCAGAGTGTATCCGGCAGAAGGCAAACGCAGAGACCAGCTCTCCCAGAATGTGCTCTGCAATGTGATCAACGCTGTGAGAGACTGCAAAGGCAACACAACAAATCCAAATATTTAACTGTAAATGCCCAGAACTGAGACCATGAAAACACTTTTGTATTTTCCATGGCATGACCTGTTTACATATTAACACAGGGAATATACTGTGATTGTTTTGAATTTGGTTCACAGATCATTTGTTTTCTTTTAGAAGTGGGGAAAATGCCTAGTGCTACATGACAAAATAAGTTTTTTTTTCTGTTGACACTACTCATACTGTACTGTATCCCTGTAAACAAAGGGCTTTTATTAGCACATTATGACTACTTGTCATTCAGTATAATAAATGTTAAATGGTAAATGGACTGCACTTCTTTAGCTCCTTTCTCGTCAAGGCGTTTTACAATACATGTCACATTCACCCATTCATACACTGATGGCAGAGGCTGCCATGCAAGGTACCAACTGCTCATCAGAAAGGAACTAACATTCAAACAAACACTCACACACCAATGGCACAGCCACCCAAGACACTTCGACGCTTCTGTCACTTAGAGCCAGGGATCGAACCACGACCTTCTGGTTACCTGAGCTCTACCTCCTATGCCACAGCCAATGTAATGTAACGCTTCCTCCTGCAATGTCTGTCAAAGTTATTCTTTCTTTAAAGCTTCATTCAGTGATGGATGGGGATGTAAGGTTTCAAAACACACTCAGAAAGGACTGTATTAAAGTGTATTCAGATCAGAATGAGAAAGGAGTTATTTTCCTTGCCGACTGAATTGTTTTTGTATTCCACATTTATTTGGCCAAGAAACATTGTCAGTGGCTAGAAACCGTTTTATTTACACAACCCAACCCAGATTACACATGTAACTAAAATGAAAACAACAACTAAATAGCAGACCTGGCTTAACAGAGGAAAACTCAACTCAGCTCACTTTAAAGGTACAATGTTTCCACCTTTTGTATTCCTTGTCTAAAAAAATAGGGGGGAGCATATCATATATCAGTCGGTCATAACTGCTGCTAACTGTATTGTTTCCACAAATTTTTCATAAAGCCTCATTTACCACAGTGTTCATCAGTGACACCTAGTGGAAAAAAATAATTGAGACCATCATTTACATCATGCCACAGTGATGGATAGATGGATAGGTAGGTAGACTTTAGTTCACATGTCTTTTGCCCTGTCTGAAAATTAAAAAAGTTGTTATTGTCAGCAACAATTCAGAAAGTCAGTAAAGAGAAGACATGGAAAAGGATTATTTAAAATAAAACAAAAGTAAACAGAGCCAAATCTTGCCAGAGCATTTGGCAGGTAGATGACCTTTAGCCATCTGACTGCCTCAGTGGGCTGAAGACACCCAGCCAAGATACGTCTTCAAGCAGGTAGCCATGTTGTAATGGAGATGCAAATCCCAGCAGCATGTGTATGGAAAATGGATACAAGGTTTTAAAGCTTGTGTCCAGCATGGTCGCTATGACCATCACACTTAGTGTTTCTAGTTCTAGTTCTAAACTTTCCCTTACACATCTGACCAGGTTTTTAGTTGTTATGTCTGTCGTCAGTGTTCAAATTACACCGTGGCTTTCGGGGAACCCCGTTTTTGTGGGTGGGAGGGTACTTCAAACATACAAGTGCATACATGAATCAATACATTTCAATTCATAGAAACAACATTCAGCCTGGGGCAACAAAGAAAGTGAAAGATGATTCACCATCGCCTCTGGCTTGGTCACTTGACTTGATTAATTTGACAGAGAACCAAGTCATGTGTAATAACTGGGAGGATGAAACTGTATTCTGTTCTAGATAACTGGGTTAAACGTGGCGCCCCTTCACAGGTGTGTAAAATGTTACAAGAAATAAGAAGCATGACCAGAATTAAAACCCAGCTCATAAAAACAAACGTTAAGGAATTGTATTTGTGTATATTAGAATATGTTTATTGTTTCTGCTTTGTTCATATTTAGCAATCCACTAGACACATGATGCACTTAACAAAGTCGTACATATTAAATGTGAACAGGAATCAGACTTCAGCACTGCATTCTTTTATTATGTTACTGGGGGCACAGTGTTTTGAGAGGGCTGTAGAGATTATGTATGTATTTCTACCCAACAGATTTTTTTGGGCCACTCAAGATAATAGCATTGTAATGCCAGGTGTAAATAAGATTAATGTTGTATAAAATAATATTTGCATGCAAGTACTTTAATAAAGTAATACCACCAGTTTTTTGTATGACAAATGGCATGCTTTTATAGCACTGTACTGTATTGTGGTATGCCAATGTAATGCTGAATTTCTCTGTTGAAATATCAACTATCAAAAACAGGATGAGCATGTTTAGAGTTTTGTTGTCAAGAAGCTAAATTATATGTGTAGGTATGGTATGAATAGAAGTTGTGTTTGCATGAGTTGAAGACATTTTTTCTGTGCAGAAAGTCACCTTTAAAAAGCCTGGCTGGTCCACTAACTCCTTATGAGATAAGTGATTATTACATAGAGATGATGATTTTTCCAAATCAATGCAGCAGCTGAACTTGTCAGCACTAATGCAAAGTGCTTTTATATATTTTATGTATAAATGTTCAAAGCAACTATGTACATGTTCATTAGATCCATAAAAACTCAGCTTTGAAAACAAATGTCCACATTGCAAGTTTCTCTCAAACCTGGACCAGCAGCTACATTCACTAACAAACAGAAATAGCCTGAAAACAACAATCTACTGTTGATCGTATTCCAGCATTTGAAGATACACAACTCAAAGATACTCATTTAAGGTAGCTTGGTCAGTTGCTCCAAGTTTGAAGGAAACATCATGCCATGAACAATTTCAAGCTTCCTCTTGTACTCTTGCTTGACTGAGACTGAAACTATTATGGCTTTAAAGTCAACAATGTTCCAAATTACACACACATGCACATTACATTACAGAGGGCCATGGCCAGATTAACCTGGACGGGACTAAAGTTTCCGGTGTGCCCCTCTTGACCCAAACGTTTCCCACCTTCTAAACATTGGGTACGTAGTACCTCCAAGTTCCCATCCAGTAAAGAGTGCATGGCAAATGATTTTCTCAGAAACCACCTGATACTCCTGATATGTTGGAATAACCTGGCCCCAAGTTTTCTGTGCATTCATTTGTGGTAGTTCAATTATATATATTATATACTTTAATTCAATTCAATTATATATATATTATATACTTTATTAAGGAATGTATGCCATGTGAGCACTAAACAGTTTGAAATACGTTCTTAAAACTAACTATTTTTTACAAAGGGTCCATACTCATGCTGAGGTCACAATGCAGATTTGTCTTAGTTTATATTGTACTTCAGGTGGACACATTTTCTAACAGATGTGCAATGACTCAAACTACCAAAAAACTAACTTGTCTCTTTTCGGGTCCCTGAGTGTATAGTGTACTTGTCCTCCAGCTGTTAATGCAGCCTTGCACGGGGTGTTTTGGTTGCCAACTCCTGGAAATGTTATGGTCTTTAATGTTTATCCCCTTAAAAACTGACTTGATGGCTCTAGGGGAGGAAGTTGAGGTCAGATTTAGTTGGGTAGATTTTAACGATGGTCTTTGAATTAGAGAGGTGGGGGTGTGGTGTGGGTTTATTGTGGGTTCCAGCATATGTTGGGGTTGAGGGGAATGAGGATGCGGATGAAGCTGCTAGGGCAAGTTTAATTAGAGAAAGGGTGGAAGTGGAGGTGCCTTCTGACAGACTGGAGTGTTGTAGCATCATAAAGGAAAGACTGACCCAACAATGGCAGCATGAGTGGAGTGAAGACAACAGAGGGAGGAAGTTTTATGACATATCATCAATTAATCGTGGGAATACAATGATCTTGCCTCGGATGGATCAGATTATGTTGGCTAGAACATTGCGGGTTGGGAAGTGGTCTGTCTCTGGTGGGGAAACATAGGGATGGCAAGTGTTGAGACTCAGGAGTACAGCAGTCCTGCAAACACATCATCATGCACTGTCAGTATGCTGAGGAAAGGAGCCTGTTTATTCATGGGTGTAAACCGAGTTGGGAATTTAAATATTGTCTTTTGGGTGATGGTCCTTATCAAAAAGAGAGAGCATTGGAACTAATCAAGGACTAACTATACTTTGGTTCAGGAGTTTGGACGTAGACTGTACGCATCACCGGTGGGAGGCAGCAATGCACTAACCAATGCCTAGTCTGCCGGAAAGGAACAGAAGAAGAAAAAGAACGTCGCTGCGTCATGCGTGAACCATGTTAGCCGCATTGCATTCTGGTTCTTGTTGTCCGTTTTGATCATTCTCTATTGTCATTGTCATCTTCATAGCTGCCGAGCTCGCCCTCTGCGCCGTTATGTCGTCTTTGGGCAGCACTGCCTCACAGACAGCTGAAAATGGAAACGGAGGTTTGTTACTTAGCTGAAACACTGCAGACAGACGCCAAGTCCGCTACGTTTGTACCCACAGCGCCTAACGCCACCGACAGTTAGCTATGTGCCAGCTAGCAAGTTACTGACGTTATGTTCACCACTGCTAACGTTGCCTCTAACATAGCTAAATAGTTGAATGCTCGGCGTTTTATACAGTTGTGTTTGTCCATTTCAGGAAACAAGAGAACTCCGTGTCCGTTGCACGGCTGCACGCGGGTCTACGCAGAGGTGGGCGCTCTGGAGAGCCACATCAAGGACCACGAGCTCTCAGCTCAGTCACTTCCTGGTGAGCTCCCAGTTCAGAAGTACCTGTGTGGGCATTTTCACCAGTCACCGGGCTGGACCAATTCAGATAAGGTGGCACATTGTCCAGCTGTGAGCTGACAGCTGTGCTCAGCCTGATGTCTGGTCCTAGAATACAGAAGCCAGAGTTACAGCACCCTGACAGGTTTTAAAGGGCAGGTTTGGATTTGACAGGATAGTTACACACATTGTTATTATGTATGTCTTTGTTACGTGTGCATTTACTGTCAAACACCTGTTAAAGGACACTTACATAGCTTTCTTTAATAACTGAAAGGATAGTCTTTCATTGTGATGTGAATTGTCCATGGCATGTGTCCTCTGCTGGACAACTCTCAGATGCAGTCCACCTCTTTAACCTTACTTAGTTTCTCTGCTGTGATTTGATTTTATTCATTTGAATCATTGCACTTTTAAAAATAAATTATATCTGCGTTATTGTACAGAGAGGGACGCAGAATAACAGCATGGCCGGCTGTAAAGTTGTCTGAAAATCAAAAATCAAACTACAAACTACACATAAATGTGATGGACCTAATATAGACAAAATGAAATGGACTTTGTAAAATTGGCCGATGGTATAACTTCTGACAGCAGCTGTCAACGTGGAGCTTGAGCAAAGCTCATAAAGATAGCACAGCCTCAGACATTTCAGGAAGTAGTTTTATTAGTGGGGGGGGGGGTTATGAGGGAAGCTGTAGCATCACACCGTCTGTCCTCTCCTCAGGAAAGGTCTTGCTCTGCTCCTCGGTCGGCTGCAGTGGTTCCTTCCCCAACATGCAGAAACTCATGGAGCATATGAGGCATCATCACAAACCCAACATATTCTTCCTGTGAGTTGCTCTTTACTTGGCTGTCCGTGCACTCAGCGGACATGTTTGGAGATGTAACTTTGCTATTTTCTTCTGAAGGTGTGAGAGCTGTCGCACAAAGCTGCGATCCTACCGAGGCCTCCTGACTCACCTGCACACTTGTTCCAAAGTGCCACGGGGGAAGACAAAGCAGACTGAACCGGCGCCCCCTCCGCCTGCTGCTGTGACCAACCAAAACATCACCCCCACGGCCATGGACCAGGACCCCCCACGGCTGGACTCAATGTCTACACCCCAGCAACTACCCTCTCAAATCCCAAACCCAGACGGTTCCTTCCCTGCCGATGTTCCTCAGCCAGACTCTGCTGCCCCTCCTCTCCTCGGCCCCCCGTTCTTGTCTGACCTGACCCCCCCTCCCCAGCTTGCTCCTCAACAGCTCACAGAGGCAGCTCCCCAGCTTCAGCTCAGCAATGAAGCCTCTGATCTGCCTCCATCTCTGAACCTGGATGGCCCAGCAGGAGCTCCTGTCCTCCCCGAGGGCCAAGGTGAGCACCAGACCCAGATCAGGTCTCCTCAGTCTGTCCACCCTGCTCCAGTATTGGGTCCTTCTGCTCCAGGTTCCTCAGCTGTCTGGAAGAAGAATCAAGGTGAGCTCCTCACCTCCTCTCACTAAAGCGCACAGCTGCAGCCTGTCAGATGTGGCTACGCGTTTACTTCCACAGTGCTCAAAGTGCCCAAAGCTGCAGATACAAACTCAGGCTACCTCCATTCGATTTCCTCTGTATAGGCATCCATGTGACAAAGACCATAAGATTAGAGATGCATGATATGTTGGTGTCCGTTATATTAGAATATTGAATTATTGTTATGGAATTCCAGCCAATAGTTCCGTTCGATACTGCAGAACTTTGGTTTTCATATGTTGCACCTGCCAATGTGGTCGCACGTTTGAGTCAGATGTTACGTTGAATGAAAATGGTACGTTCTGTCTAGCTACAGTATGTAAACAAGGAGGAGCGTTGACTATGCGAGAGTAGCCTCCGTCAGACCCACTTATTACTGTCCGTTTGGTGGGAACAAATCATCAGTAATCAAGTAATAACTTATTTAATTGGTTTGATAGCTCATGAAACATTGTGAAATTTGAATGTGCAGTTCCTTTTTTTAGACTTTAATTAGTCCTTTCATCCATTAGGTATGGCCTGCAACAGACGCATCCTTTGGGAGCACACTAAAGGGCGCTACACATGTATCCAGTGTGGCTACACAGTAACCAACCGTAAGGACATGACTCAACACATCAACACTCAACACAGCGGCAACAAACCTGCAGAAGACACAGGAAGCTCGGCCACTAGCTCATAGTGTGGGAGCAGGAGCACTCATTTACTGAACAAGATGCATTTTAGAAGCATAGTCCTCAGGATTTCATCTGTTGTTTCTGTCAGGGGTTTAACCAAATACTGAGCGATGGTTCATGTGGAACACCTTTACTCTGGGTGAAGTGCAGAGCAGTGAGTGAGCAATGTGTTTTTGCATATTGCTCCCAGGCACACGTACAAAGACTTTTCATTAAATATCAGACAATTTGGACAAGTGTGTGTATAGAATGATTTTGTGTCCAACAAACCTTTGTTCTGTAGACATGTCTGATTGTGACCTTGCCTGAACGTTTGTGATACCTTAATAAATTAATGACTAGTTAGCTGTCCTCTCTTTAGTCTTCCCCTGTCCAAGTGGATCAGTGACCAGATATCTTATCCGGACATCTGATTGAGTATTTAACTGTTTGAGCTGAGATTTAGCTGGTGCCTGGTGACATAGTATCAGCCTCCCACTCAAGCTAGCCATCATCAGTAGTGAGTCACCACTTGGATTTGTGTTTATTTTGACCTACAGCTACATTTCTGTTCCTCATGTGAAAGCACGATCCTTTCCCCCAAAAGGGGCATGGCCTTGCAGGATCCTTTTTCCTTTTGATGGGAGTTACTAAGTGCATGTAGCATTTCACAAACTCTACTACTCTCAAATTCCACAACAAACACCTTTTACAAGAAAGACCAGGTCAAAAAAAGCTGTTTTTTATTTGGGTCAGTCAGAATGAGTTGATACAAGCACTTGACTGTTAGAAGGTTTTGGTCAGCTCAGGTAAACCTCCATGCCCCCGTACATCATACATGCTCCTGGACAACCACCTCCTCTGACTCCTTTCCCTCATTTTCATTAGCATTACACGCCCGCCAAGCAATGAGCTTCACAATAATTAACACATCAAGACAATACCACATGACAAGAGGTCCCACTTTAACATGTGACTTACTCGACATTACCACATGCAGACTGAAGTTCTGTTTTCAACAAACAAATCCCATCACGGGTTTGAAGGGGAGTCACTGTCTCTATAAAAAAAAACATGAGGGAGGGCGACGCTTTCACATTGGTCTGTCAGAATTATTCAAACGGGTTGTTTGACAGCGTGAGCCGTCCTCCCATCAGTTTTTGTACACGTGGGTTTTCAAAAGAAAAATATCCATTTACATTCCATCTCATTGTTCTACAACCCTCCAGTTTCAATCTGTTAAATTTCTGTTAATACAAAACCTGCTGGAAATGAACTAGGAACCAATAGTTTTTCCTTCACATGACAGCAGGTTGTTGAGGGAAGAAATAAACTCATAGTAAACAAGTGCATACAAAAAAAAATTAAATGCCCACTGTCCAACCCCCAGATCAGGCAATGTTGACTTTTTTTTTGTTGTTTTATTATCACAACTTTGTTCAGCTCAGTTCTCTTGAGGCTTTAAAAAAATCTCTTCTGGTCAACTGCGTACATCTTTCCTGCTGGAAGTTTACGGAAAAATAAACTGTTGCCTCTGCTCATGTTGCCCTGGGATGAAGAGAAAAAAAGAAGTGTTTAGTAGTGGCTGGTGAAGTTTGAATTTAGAAAACAAACTGAACTGAGGTGTTCAAATTCAAAGTGGACAGTCTATAATAGAGCTGCAATGATTAATCAATTAAGTGATTAGTTGTCAACTATTAAATTAATCGCTATTAATTTATTACTATTTTGATAATCCAATAATCAAAATTAAGAATTTTTTCTCTTTATTTTGATTCTTTCCTCTATGACAGTAAACTGAATGTATTTGGGTTGAGGACAAAAGAAAACATTTGATGATGTCACCTTGGGCTTTGGACCTAACAAGCTAATCGATTAATCGAGAAAATAGACTAATTGATAATGAAAATAATCGTTAGTTGCACAGCAGAATTTAATGGAGGCTGCCTTGTGGTCCAGCAGAGAGCTTAAAATTCACATTGCATGCACTGTTGACCCATCAGTAAACTGACCTAATAAAAACAGTAACAGGCGAAGTTGTGCTGATAGGATAATCACAACACAGTTCAAAATTGACTTTGTGAAAAAGTGACAGCCCTTATTACATGTACTGCTCAAAGATGACTACAGTGGTTCCATTTATTAATTCAATAACAGAAATGAGGCGAAGATGTAAATTATTGAGTACACTATATAAAATATAGATGTTGACACGCGTGTTTGGTATGAGATGGATTTACCTCTCTGCTTAGATGCTTCCAGCAGTCCAGCCAGGTGGGGTATACTGATGCATAGGGAGGCAGGCCTCCGGCGAGCCTGCGAGGACAGTGAAAATATGAGTCTGCTTGATCCAACACTCCAGAGGATTTACAACAGCAAATAAACAAAAAACTCACCCGCAGTTGTTGACGGCCATGAGGTTTGACACCAAAACAAAAGGGTATGTGAGCATACTGGCAAAGAACTGGGAGAAAAGAGCAGAGGAGGAACACGATCAAACTACCAACAGATGAGCTGGTGTACTGCTGATGTGGACGGCCACGTGTGTCAGACTCACCCCTGTCACAGCCTGAGAGCAGTTCTTGATTTCTCCTGTGTGACTCATCTGTACAGAAGAACAGATTAACAGCGTTAATTCTGTATGCGAGTCTGGACTGAAGACCGTTCAACAAAAAACCCTCAGCATGACATCGTTCTGTCGGTCAGAATTTTGGTGACACAACCAGGGGTCTCCTTTATAAACAGTGCGTTCGTACAAAATGGGGCTGGAAACATGCGTTCACTGCTTCCCAAGCAAGGTTGTGATCTCTAAAAAAAAAACCAAACTTGATGGGAGAATGTGAGGTCCTCCACGCAAACTCAGACATGTGTACGAACAGAAACTGGAGAAATGAGAATTTACTTTTAATAAATACTACTAGATCTGTCAGTGTGCCGCTTATGTCACATAAAACAAGTCATACTTCTTTTACCTCATCGGCAGCCTTGTTTAGTGAGTGGACAGTGCGTGTTGTTTACTCTCCTTTTAAATGAGGGAATTCAAATTATGTACCTGGGTCATCCAGTGCACCTTGCATATCTGTGTCCCCCGCTGCGTGTGCGCGGTTTACCCACCAAACAACATGCTTCAGCTTCACCAAAACAAACATCAGTGTCACACTGTGTTAAATTTCTTTTTGTAGCTTTTCTGTCCGAATTTGCTGTCCTATGTACATGTATTAATATTAATGAGGGGCGTTTCACCGACCATTCATAGGTAACTATGGGTGTTTGAAGGGTTGGACAAGGAGCTCACTCACATACGCTACAATTCAAGCTGATTGTGATTTATAAAGGGAAATCGGAGTAGGATGTGCGTGCGCAGCATTTTATAAATGGGAATATTTTTGTGCGTACACACTTCCTGTGTTTTGAACATACACAACCTTTAGGAGCCTTTTCTACGTACAGTTTTATAAATGAGACCCATGGGCTGTAGTTTCTGCAGCAGAGACACTTGGGTTTTGATTTAGATTACAGCTTAAAAATTGAAATACAATTATATTCGACAGTCCATGTCTCTCCTTCACCAGACTCCTGGACTGATCCAGTATCAGTTTCTGTCTTTTCTCTCTTAACTTTTCCATCCTATGTTTCCTCCTCTGTAGCAGGGCGTCTGTCACCTTTGGTGAATTTGTATTGAATCGAACGATATGTATGCACAGCATGTTTGTTAACATAGATATTCTTTGCATTATACTGATCCTTGGTGTAGGCCTGACCCCAAATAGTCGACGAGTCGATGCTTCAATGGGTGGAGCCTGATTCAACAGTCAATCTCACAGTCGAAGGTTCATGCCATTTTAGCCATTTGGGGGTGCTCAACGTCTGATTTTACATAGAACTACCAGTTTTCTCCCAATAAGTTAGTATACAGCCTATTACAATATACATATTTAAAATTGTATCTAAATCTAAAATTGTAACCCTAATCCTGGGTCGTCAGTGCGCATGTGTGTAGTAGCAGAAGAGGAAGACTTGCTGAAGAGACGGAGGCCCAGCTTCACTGGTGTTTTACCGAGTTAGCCGCACTTCACGGGACTAATAATAATAATTTATCACCGTTGATGAACCCCACAAAGAATACTATATCGTTTTTAAACAGCCAGCCGGCTACTAGTAGACCCGTGAGGAACTGCAATGTGCATGTAGTTGTCTGCGGCATGGAATGCACGGTAAACTCTGCACAAGAGCGGTGAATGGCAGGCAAAAGAAAGAAAGAAAGGGGTCTTCAAAAAAGCCTCAGTTTAGCTGGAAATTCAGTTTTTATTTAGTGTAAGTTGAATAGAGACTGCAGCTCTGCAGCTTCTCAAGGTTAAAGCAGAGCTACCATGTGTAACACCCCCACCAGCTCACAAACGTTGTGCACAAAAGCACACATGATTCGACAATAGGCAGGACATGACGATTCGGGGACAGCCCTACCTTGGTGTCAGTTTTATGTAAATATTTATGACTTTATGTGGTCTTGGCCACGTCCAGTTGGTATCTTATTACCTGCAGCAAGAAAAGTATACGAGGCAACTAGTAAATGTTTGGCCCATCAACATAGTTTAACTCTGAAAACCCTACAGAGTTGCTGTCTGGTAGCAATCCAGTTTGGCTGGCTATGCAGAGGCTCGTTCTGGTGCCAGACTAGCAGCTTGACAGAAGTTGTTAACAGCTGCTCCATCGATGCAGGCCTGGGAGCTGCTCATTTTTGCTATGGGAGTGATGCATCTTGCCTCTACGTGATCTTTGTTGGGAGTTGCACATGCTCAGTTCCTAGTTAAGGACTACTAGCCAATCAGAAGCAGAGAAGGGCGGGTCACCGAGAAGCCGGTAAACACGGCTTCGGTTCAGCTGTGTTCCCCTTACCAGCTTAGCAACATGGACTGGAGCAAGGGTTTCAGAGTGATGAGTTATTAATCTGTAACAAAAGTATCTTTGGGCAGGTGGGCCAGCCAATCATTTCATTCAGACCAATATTAAATAACTGGCTGTTATTATTACAGTACTGCGACAGCCAGATAGCTGATTTTTGTGTCGAGCATTTGATTTATTGATTGCTGTCGGGATGTGAAGAATAATTTCAACAAAAATAAATAAATTGCCTAACCCAGCTTTAACATGAACCATCACACGTGAAGAATTTCTTGAAATGTACTTGCCTACTCTGAATAATCATGCACAGCACGAGTGGGTTAATCACTCTGTGTTAACAGTATACAGAAGTCCTGTAAGTAAGTGTAAATGTTTTTTTCTGAATTTCAGGCGGGTAAACAGCATTTCTGTATATTCACTCTCCACACAACCTGGCAGTAAATGTTGCCTGTAAGGTGGATTTCGGGGCAATTAAGTCCTTATACCACTCTGGTACAACCATAAAAAGCCCTTGACTGGACTGAGCAGTGTAAAAGAAGTGGCATACCGAGTCGTCAATGGCGTATGTATTGATGAGGTGAGCCAGCAGGTTACAAATCCACAGAGACAGGACATCACCGAGCAGGCGAGGAATCAAACCACTGAAAAAAGATAACATTAAAATGTCTGATTAAAACATCTTGAATAAGAGGGAACATAATCACCACACTGGATGTAACCACCAGGGGTTTCAAAGTCTGACATTTTTAATTGAAACAATTCAACATAGTGTGTACTGTGCACATACAGCACTAAGGCAACACTATACTGGGGCATTTTGCTTTTAAGGGATGAAAACACAGACAGCTAAATGATTTAAAGCTAACAATCATGGCAGTACCCCAAACACATGGTGCATTAAAGAGAAAAAGAAAGACAAGGAAAGTCAGACTTACGCAAAGAAGCCCAGTATGCCTTCTTCTCTGTAGACCGTGACGATGGAGTCAAACACCCCACTGAGAACAGAAGAAAACAGACATTTGTAAGTTTTTAACTATTGTCATGGCTCTGCTCATTGAGGTTTGTGTCTAAAACATTTAAACTGTACCTGTATTTTGTTTCCCTCCCAATAAACTGGACCATACATCGCAAAGTAATCACTGAAAAACAAGTTGAGGAAAACATACTTGACATGCAAACTAGTGTCTCCAGATTTACCAGATCCATACACCATTACAGTTTAAATGCATCACAACTGAAAGCACTTCAAAGCTCCAACACAACCTCCAGAAGTATCACATGCATAATGTTGTAAACGTTCACCAGTTAAAGCCATCAGAAAGATTTGAGCAGCTGCTGACATTTGTGACGTACCATGAAAGGGGTGTGTGACAATGGTGGCACAGGAACGGGCTATCATCTCTTTGGTTGTCTGTGGAAAAGACCAAACAAATAAACTGAGATGTTGTATGAGACGTCATATGCATGTCCATACATCACTTATATCTAGGGCTGAAAGGATTCATCGAGAAACTGGAATGACTCGATTACTAAAAAGTCTAGCAAGGGTAAGGCACAACAAGTTGTAAATGTAGAACAGTGTGTTTGTTGCCACTTTGCTTAGTCCGTGAGGCTGGGTTGTAATCTTACAGTGTTACTAAAATAATCGATAGCCGTCATACTTACATAAGCAGACATGACCATTTAATAGGGTATATGCTGAGACTGGTTTCTAAACATATGCCTGGTTTGGTAAACATTGACAGATACAACAGAATTTCTTTTTAACATTTAACATATTTAACAGTGGAGTTTTGTATAATACCTCATTCAAATGAAATAAATGACATTTAGTAGAGGATAAATATTATTTAAAATGTGTCAAAAAGATACCTATGCATACCTTTAGTTTTATATACAACAGAAGACATTTTTTTATTTACAAGTAACAAAATAAAAGAAGCTAATTTTAAGTTTAAGTTTCTTTGCTTAGTTTCTCACTCAGTAAAGACGCACAAGGTATAGAAAGATAATCACACAAGATGTAAAAGCAAAGAAGGAACATTTATGCACTTTTTTGAAAGTGTGAAAAGTTATGTTGTTTTAGAGTTTTCTTGTAAACAAAACTTAAGTTTGTTAGATTAAATATTTTACCACCAAAGCACATTATGCATCTCCTTGAGGTCTAACAAACAGGTTGGATACTCGCTATTTATCTTTCCCTCTGAAACTTTACTGTTTTGTCACTCACTCCGCTCTTATAGTGTCGTTTCCAGCTGCTGCAGCAGCTGTTTTCAGAGAAACATCTGTAAAAACCACGGCACTGAGCTAAATAAGAGAATACTGGACTACCGTTCGTTGCTCTGGAACTGCTGAATGTGGAAATAAGCAGCTGTTTGGTAACAACTGTATCAAGGGCTGGACAATAAAACAATAACAATAATTTTTTCTCAATAATATAACATTATTAGATGTTTATTTTGTTGAGGAAAAAGGGCTGAAAAAAGCTTAAAACCACAATTAATCATCAGGTTTCTTCAACTTTCAGTCAGGAGCAAAAATCAGCTTTTTAACTTGAAAGACATAATGATTTGAAAGATATGAAATTTTTATCGTGATTTCGGCCATGTCGTCCAGCCCTACTTAAAGGTGATATTATGTCAGTGTTGTGTTTCCACCTTGTTTCTGCTGCCCCCAAATGGCCAAATAAAACCAGTTATTGCAGGTTTAAGGCTGACATTAGCTTCAGATAAACTCAATGCAATGCATTTTCACACTAAATGAGAACTCTGATTTTGTCCCCCATCACTTACATTAAGAATACATTAGGAATGGATGCCCTAATGACCACTATGGCCTGGAGGAATAATTACAGCGAGCAAAACCAGTTTTAATGTATGTATGGGCACTTAATGGAACCTATCCATTAAGCCATCCACTAAAGAACTGAGCCTAACATAACAACGAATATTGCCCGACCACAATTAGAGTACCTTATAGTCTGATGAATAGCTGAGCAGTTAGGAAAAAAACATAGAGGGTGTCTTAATATATTTATTGTGGTACTAGTGAGACCCGAGTTTGCTCGTTTGGTGTGTTGCTTTCTGGCACTATCTCATTCTAACTGTGTCTAAGTGTCTTACCTCATTAACAACGTGCTGTAGGGAGCCCTCCACAGCCTTCTGCTGACCGCCCAGAACCTGGACAACAGAGACAAACCTCAGCATCACATAGCTTTAAAGAAGTTTGTGCCAATTTTATACCTTTATTAGGAAGACACAGGACTCTGATGACCTAAAACAACCACAAAGGTCTGTAGCCAAACTTCCGGAAAACACTATGGTTCGTGGTCAGTGTCGTAACCCTCTGGCCACCAGGGCCTCACGAATTAAAACAACAGTCCATTTAGTGAATTTCTGTTTGTTTTCATCACATCAGAAGAATCTCGAACATAAGCTAATGTCAATAATTTTACACGAAATCCTCATCCCAAACCCTAACAACTAAAACGACTAGTGCTTGCTTTCACTTTAGTTTCTTGGCCGTCAGCAGTTGATATACAGGGAAAGTTCACAAGTTCCTAAAATGCCTAAAATTCCTGGCTACCACATTTGAAAAGATCCACTGAACAAGAACATCAGTCAACTTTGACAGCCGATTGTCTAGCCACCAACTTTTTATCGATAGTTGGGGCCAGACTTTAACATTGTTTCATTTCATTTTAACCGTCTGCAAATGTGCTCCGTTGTTGCAATATTTAATGGACATCAGGTCTCTCCCCTCTCTATGATGGGCGGCTTTTCACTCCACCTTCCTGTGTGGCCGATCAGAACAACTAGAAACACTTGAAATCAGTGTTATATTTTCCCCAAATTCCATGTTTTCTGTTTTAATTTTTACAACTGAAGCACATTTTGTCTTCAAGAAAGAGTGTTATCATGAGGTGGATGAAAAAAAATTCAACAATTCAAATATATGTGCAATTACTTATGGGGACAATTCACAATGAATGTATTGTTGCAATACATGTATTGTAAATTGTTGCTAATAACCAAACCTACCTGAACCAGATCCCAACAGTATGAACCAGTTCTGTTGGACCATAATCCGAGCCATGCCATCTATCAGATAGACTACTATGACCTGTATTTTGGTTAGTTTGGTTAACAGTCAATGATAAGTATACTGTGCCAATGCACATACCATACTGCTGATATCTAAATCATTATAATCAAATTAAATATAATCGTACAAACAATAAATCTGAAAAAAATCCAAAAACTCTTACCTGAGGTGTGCCTTGTTCCTGACATTTCTGTGAGAAAAAAAAGAGCTTAACATAAAACTTCCCTCACGCACACACGCTTTCTTTCTTGTTGTTGTACCTGTAGTTGAACCATGGATGTTTATTGATTATTGTGCGTTGTGCTGGAGTTTAATAAACCCTATTGTACCTTAAAAGAACGGCTGCCTGTGGTTATTTGTGCATGTGTGTTGTAATAACTGTCAGATTCAACCCTCCCCTGTCCACCTAATGAATCTCAAATAGTGAATAGTGAAATATTGGCATATCTAAAAGAACAAGCCCTTTTTGAGACTTCATCAACAGTTTGGTTATTGGTCACAGATTCCAGGGTAGTGCCTCATAAGTGTTTACTCTTATTAATCATTTTGTTGATATTAATAAACATATTTGATATTCTCTAAAAGCCAGACCTGCCCTACCAAATTCCCAACATAAGCTAAAACTGTCAATTTGAATCTTATGGTATGTCCATGCAAATGGAAAAGCAAACCAAGAATTCTTTCAGTCAAAATAAATAGTTACAAATACCTAACCTTTTCAGGGTTTTTATATTTAATTCTCTGTTACTGTTGCTCTCTGAAAAATGAACGAATAAAACTATCTCAATTATATAGCTATATGTAATTAATATAGCAAATATTTAAACAGTTTAATTTCCATTTCGCTATTTGGAACTAATTTGTCCATGCCCTGAGCAGAGGGCATAATTGTTTCCAACAACAACAAAAAATGGATTCAGGTTTAAAGAAATATTTACAATACAATGCCAATTGCACTATACCACCATAGAAGTTTATTAGATTACTTCCTTGGTTTCATCTAAAAAACAAGCTATAGGTGACATTTCATTCTATGGTGCACTTATCTATTCAGGCCTACCTGAACAACGTTGCTGTGCACGACTGTACCGATAGCACCAGCACAGAGCCTTGGACCAAGCCCTTTGAAGAGACCTCCTTTCCCATCAATCTTGATGATGTGTTTAGCTGAAAGATTCAAAAAATATACAGCAGGACAGTTTAAAAAGAGCATGTTTACATACTATCGGTCACAGTTCTCGTGACCCTTGTATCTACACTGAACAAAATTATAAACGCAACACTTTTGTTTTTGCCCCCATTCATCATGAGCTGAACTCAAAGTTCTAAGACTTTCTCTATGTACACAAAAGGACTATTTCTCTCAAATAGTGTTTACAATCTGTGTTAGTGAGCACTTCTACTTTGCCGAGATAATCTATCCACCTCACAGCTGTGGCACATCAAGATGCTGATCAGACAGCATGGGGATTGCACAGGTGTGAGGGACAAGACAAGGGACAGGGAAAGGACAAGGGGAGACACTGTTGTTGCATCATTGGATCAATCAGAACGACCAATAGCGCAGCTGCTGGTCTCGTTGCAACACATGACAAACCATCCATTATCCAACTATCCGCTGTTTGAGGAGTCAGAGCAGGGTTGAACCTACATGTGTGACAAGCCATCTGATTTCAGCGCTTTATTGTAAGTACATAGTTGAGTTGAAAAAAGTTGTGTATCCCTCCTAGCTACATTGATTTGCTTCATGGCGCAAAGTTTGTCCAATTACAACTATTCATAGAAGGGACTGCTCCAGAGGCGTGCGACCTCTGCTCTAGACAGCAACTTTAAGTTGCTTTGGATAAATGTAATGTCAATGTGTATCTGGAAAATCATGTTTATCATGGAAATTACTCTGAGGATAAAAGACTATCTCCAACCATAATCATAATGATCGATAATTATCGATATCGAAAGATATGAAACTTTTTATCGTGATAACCTTTTTGGCCAGTCCTAGGTGGGTGTGTCACCTCAACATTAATTTTCAATATTACAAAAGCTAAAATATGGCTGCATACTTCGGGAAATGATCAGCACTAATGGAAGGTGCAAACAGATAGTAGTTATTTCACTTAAACATCCTTGTAGACACATGCTTGGCCACTGATCCAAAATGGGTGACAGTTACATGCTAACAAACAAAGACAAAGAAGAAATAGACTCCTAACATGTAAAGTCAAATTTTTCAAATCTGTCTTTGCAAAGATTTTAAGGGGGGCAGAAATAGACTCAATGGGTTTGTTAGACCTCAAGGATACACATGTTTTGGCCAAAAGCCTCATATTCCTACTGACAATCAGAATCAGCTGTCACATTCCCCCAAAACATCAGAAATTAGAGTGGCTTTCAGACATTCGCCAGACAAGTGTTTGTCATGTTTAAATAAGCACTCCAGTCACATTTTGTAAAAGTCTAATCTGGCTGATAACGTTTCCACAACACACACACACAACGTTCAAAGCTACAGCTAGGCATATTGAAAGCACATCCCTTTCTGCCTTCTTAAGAGCACAACTAAATTTTTCTGATTCCATTTCAACATGGACAGTAGACTCACCGTAAGCAAACAGTCCAGGCAGCTGATAGACTTGTCTGCCAAACAGGTTCCTGCCCAGGGTGGGAGAGAGCGGCTCATGTCCTACCTAACAACACACACATTAATAATAATAATAATAATAATAATAATAATAATAATAGCAAGGTGATAAACAATATGCTCTTACGTTACGTCTCCGCAGCACAAACCTGAGACTCTCCCACACTTCCTGATTTATTTTGGACGGATACAGTCAAGTTGTTGCCATTTCTTTTCTTACTATTTAGTTCAAAAGATACAAACGTTTCTCTGCATAATTTGTCTATAAAACAACTCGGAGTGTAACGTTAAAGCTACAAGAAGTTGGCCAAGTGATTAGCGTTGACTATAGCCACTTAGCAACCGCTAGTGTTAGCTTAGGAGCTGTTTTAGTGGGCTAAAGGGCACCGGTCAGTAAATGTCACACGCAGTCATTAATGTTACAAATCTTACAGTTTCAATATGCCAGATACATGACGACGGTGTGCCAACACGAGTCTGTTGTTTAACAAACTATTTTTAAAAAACGGCACTTTGAAGTGAAGAAACGACAGCTCGTCTCTGACCTTTTACTGTTAAACAGGTCAACAAAGCCACTGTGTGAATCCTCCAGGAATGGAAACTAGTATCATTTTTGTCACATCAGGAAATCGGTCTGAAATGCAGAAACGTTGCGGCTGTAACGTTAATGTTAAGCAGCAGAACAGTTGGTTGATGACAGCTAACTGTTAACGTAACGTTATGTTATCCAAGTTAGCTCTTCTCTTTTACAATTCAGTGTATCGCAACCTATTGCGCCGTAGCTTATTAGAAAACAAAATGTTTGTACTGGCAGGGTGACTCAGGGCGATTAGTTGAGTATTCTTGTACATTATGCATCCAGAAAAACCGAAGCAGTGCTACATATCAATACAGTATGAACTTTCTGAATTGTTTCACACACCTCACTTCAGCCCACTAACGTTACAGAGTATTTTGGAAACAGAAGGTCATAGGGACAACAGAGGGGCCAATACTGTTGTTCTGGCAACATTTACTGCTATATGTGTTACATGTATGCTGAATTAAAGAGTCAATGATAATAATTCACAATATTAATTAAGTCATGTTCTACACTGAACATTCATTGACAGATATGGGAGACAACATTAACCTGCGCTATTTTCAATGGAGTTTGGCGGTTTCCTCTTCAGGCTACTACCTAGTTGAGTTATACTGTATTTACAATCGCTAGCAGAAACTAAAGCAGCTCCTGGACCAGAAACACTTTCCCAGCGTCTGCGCGAACACGTTCCCTCTTACCTGGATCAGGACTTTAATGTACATCAAAGGGTGGGAAAGGACGGTGAGCCCTGATCCCAGCAATACTTGGCCACACGTGTCCGCCATTTTTGGAGAGACAGGGGAGACAGGAAGTGCTTCTCTTTCGTCTTGCGTCAGAGGAGCCGATAGCGGCCATATTTTATCACATTATAACGGTACTGCCATCTGGTGTTCATTTGTCCTTACTGACAGAATTCAAAATGTACACAATAACAAAGCATTGAAGTGGATGGATACTTCCAAATAACAATGCCAGCCGAAAAAGTATATGCAAATTACTAAGTTAATAAAAAAATTAAATAAGTTATTATTGTAGTAAGAAAAAGGAAACACAAAAACAATTGATAGTTAAATAATTTTGTCCAAAATTAGGAACTTACAAAATACAGAATTATGAACCCAGGACAGTGACTTTACATTTAGCCATTGAAAATCAAATCTATTCTAAAAGAGGAACATCTGGCACTGAAAAATAACTTGAATAGCCCAAACTTTTATTTGCTTAAATCACAGAATTCACCCTGCCTACAGTCCCCTCCAAAAGTATTGGAACGGTAAGGCAGATTCCTTTGTTTTTGTTGTTCACTGAAGACATTTGGGTTTAAGATCAAAAGATGAGTATGAGACAAGAGTTCAGAATTTCATCTCTCATTTCCTGGTATTCACATCTAGATGTGTCAAACAACTCAGGACATATCCCTGTTTGTATTAGACCACAGCATTCTTAGGTGAGCAAAAGTAATGGAACAAATAACCTTTAAAGTAAATACCATTTAATATTTGGAGGCATAACCCTTGATTGCAATAACTGCCTCAAGCCTGCGACCCATCGACATCACCAAACTGTTGCATTCTTCATTTGTGATGCTATTCCAGGCTTTTACCGCAGCTTCTTTCTTCTGTTTCTGTCCACTTCTGAATTCATTCTGCTGTTACCATCATCACTTCCATCATCAATAAATATTAATGAGCCCAAGCCATGACATTACCTCCACCGTGCTTCACAGTCCAGAGCTTGTGTGCTTCGGATCATAAGCACTTCCTTTCTTTCTCCACACTTTGGCCTTTCCATCACTTTGCTAGAGATTAATCTTGGTCTCATCAGTCCATAACATTGTATTCCAGAACTTTTGCATCTCTTTACTTTTTTGAAAATTTCAGTCTGGCCTTCCGATTCTTGCTGCTGATGAGTGGTTTGTATCTTGTGGTGTGGCCTCTACATTTCTGCTCTCTGAGTCTTCTTCCAACAGTGGATTGTGATACCTTCACCCTGCACTGTGGAGGTCGTTGCTGATGTCACTTCCTGATGTTTTGGGGATTTTCTTCACAGCTCTCACCATATTGAGAGGAAGCAAGAGCTGAAATTCTGAACTCTTGTCTCATACTCATCTTTTGATCTTAAACGCAAATGTCTTCTGTAAACAACAAAAACAAAGGAATTTACCTTACCTTTCCAATGATTTTGGAGGGGACTGTACATTTGGGACAGGACTTTAATTCTTTTTCCATGCTGGTAAATCTGAATGAATAATACTTTGGTGCTTATTGTTTCCGTAAAAGGAACTAAACGATTATATTGTGGAGAATATAACTGATCTAACGATGTGTAGCATGTCCATATTGACAAAAGTTTAAACATTTATATTGGTATGCAACATCTAAGCAGCTTAGAACTAGCTCAAGCAGGCAACCCGGTGGCTTCAACAAGTCTTATGGTGCGTTCCATTTACCTCGGAAGTTGGAAGTCGGGGCTGGGAATGACGTCACACCACTTTGACCACGTTCTAGTACACAACAGATTTTAGGTCGGAAAACCAAGATGAACGCTTCTATCCACTGTTAGCAATACCAGTTGACAACAATGCATTACGCGGTATTTTGCACATACAAACACAGTAGCAACCTGTCCACCTTACCTTATAGATATAAGTTGGACAGTACTGTGTGTACTGATACACAAATAAGATAGAAGTGGGAAATATTAATACAGCTGTCACTCTGTTGGTGCTTGCAGCAGCCATTTTGGATTTTGAGGTCGGGGTTGGTGAGGTTCCTCCGACTTTCCGAGTCAGAAATCTGACTTAAGGTGGTGTTCCAGTTGGAATTTCTGACTTGAAACTCGGAAATTACGACTTCCCAGTACTGGAACGCACAGTTATACATCCTGAGAACATCTATAAAAACCTGTGTTTATATGTCAAATCATGTCGCCACACCGGGCCAGTTAAAGGAGCAGGTGTCTAACTGGGACTAAGCTTTTGAGTTGAGTTTTACCGGAAATACATACATTTTTTTCAATGTTGGTCTTTTTTCACTAAGGTTTTAGACTGACAGACTGACAGTAGTTTTCAGCTTCAACTTTCTGTCATCGTTTTGTTGTGAAGAGGAGGGGTCTGAGGAGAGTGGCCGAGGAGCAGGGGTGGACGGGAAGTCGGGAAACAAAAGTTTTTATTTTCATTTTGTTGTTATACTTTATGATGTGTCCATGCTTCAGACTGGGCCAAAACAATACTTTCAATATTAAGGAGGGATACAAATGGCCCCTCCCAACTTTGGTCCTTGTTTTTGTTGAAATCTGATTGGCTCAACAGTGACTGTCAAAGGAGATTACTGTCCACCTGGGACGAGTTTAATCTCAGTACGTTTTGTCAGGGCTGAGACTTGACTTAGCCCAGGGATGTGTGACAAGCACAACAGAGACGGTTAAAATGGCGAAAAGAAAAAGGAAAAAAGAAATGTGTGGTGCAGAAAAAAATGTTTGCACAAGAAGCAGCTAAATACATCAAATTAGCCGACCTCTTCCTTGGTAGAAAGGTTGCTTTGGCAGGCGCAGATGAAGCAGGACCCAGCACAGCGTAATGCTTTATAAACTGAAATGATTTATATGCATTTATGTCTAGGCATATACATATATCATAAATTTATATATATTATAAACACCAGTTTGCAATGTGTTATCGCACAAAGACAACGTCCTTTTAGCAAGGAATCTCTGTCTATTAGCTGTTACGGTCAGTGGAGGTGATGGAGAGAGACAAGGTGATGATAACCTCGGTCATGTTGGTGAGGACGGAGAGAGGGAAGAGGAGGAGCAGCAAGAGAAAGAGCAGAAAGAAAAGCAGCAAGAGAAGGAGGTCAATGGAACCATAAAAGTGCCGGGCACAGGGGCAGCGTGCAGGGCTAAGTAGGCAATCATATTATCCATAGATAGAATTAAAAAAATTATTATTGTTAGTGATATTAATATTATAACTAATGCAGATTACAGACTGGTTAAGTTATAAAAGGTATGAATGGAAAATGTAGCGAAATTGAGAGTACATTAGATGTACCCACCCCTGCTGCAGACATCATCACTGCTGCCTTCAGCTAGAAGTAACAGCAGCACAAAAGAAAAGTCTGTAATATTGAGGCACCTTGCTGCTCCGGCCACACCAACTTTTTTTCCTCCCTCAACATTTCTATAGGTGACATTTTGTCCGTGACTGATGTGGACTGTGTGAGTGATTGACTGGCCAGCTCTGAAGCCTGAGCCAGGAAGGCAATGCCAAATAAAACTTTACATTAGGAAAGAGGGAGGGACAAAACATAGATTTTGAAATGAGATATGTATAATGGCTCCTCTGCCTGTCAGGTGATGAACCTCACCACAAATCCACACACGTGTTAATTTCAGCGCCTCTGATAAAGTGCAGCTCACAGCTTCAGGTGGAGCAGAGAGGACACAGAGCTACAGCTGGATCATCTTATTCTCTGCTAATTTGCAGGAGAATAAATAATAACAAAAATCTCTTGGTTAGTTAAGCCAGTAAAGTTCAATTTTTCGGCCTTTTGTTGTTGGTTTTTTAAAAATCCTTCTGAGATCCGGGGCTTTTCAAAAAACAAGGGCCCAGGGCTAACGACGTTGCTAGCCATTTAGCGCCGGTGTTCTGACGATCTATGCTGCCTTGTCGAAAAATGCGACAGTAGCGCAAATCGACAGCAGAGTCTATCCAGTCGCTCTGCTCTTTCGAAAAATGATACCTTATGTGTTCCCTTTTCCAATCCCAGAAAGTTATAACTTTCACAGTATTATGACATATTCTGTTTTTTGATTATATTATAACATCATTTCAGGGGTAGCGTATTCTGATATTCCCTATCAAATAATGCTCCCAACACAGAATCATTTTATATTGCACCACTACTCACTCCATGTGTACTGTACGGAGATGGGGAGCATGTTGAAATATTATATAATGTCATCTTTATTTAAGATATCAGGGGTAGCGTATTCTGACTAATAATGATGTTTGATGTTACTGACGATCAGCCACTTTCTCGACGGCATTCCCAACAGCAAGGTTGCACAGATTTATGGGCGTGGAAAAAAACCCCCACGCTTGTGGGTCATACGCATGCGCAGAACCCCTAATTAGCACATCTCGATAGGCAGCATAAATCGACAGAACACCGGAACACACTACACATCAGCTTGAGGCAGAGAGGAAGGGAAACATTGAGCCACTTACTATAATTATAATTACTATCCTTATATCTCTAAAGAGCTTATTCATCCAGTAGCCTAACGTCCCTATCAATAAGTAAAATTATTAGCATCAGATTTGCGGGGAATATATTGAAGTAATAAGCTTGACACACTAGAGGAATAAAACACTCTTATTAAAATTTAACCAATTTAATAATAATCTGCATAAAGCCACGAAGTTCATCTCAGGAGACAGGAAGAGATCGTTCGAGCCGTTTCAAACAGCACTCAATGCCTTGCTGTCCTGTTAGACACCTTCTGAGACAGCGGTTTAGCCCGTTTTGAACACTACTTCAGAGGTAATTTGGCTCCCAGGGTTAGGGTTAGGGAGGTGTATAAAGCACGCCGGCACACAGGACAAACCAGCTTTTTTCTATTCAGCAGGCAATCTGATATGTTTGGTAGAACGAAGCTCCGCGAACAACACACTTTGTCCTACCTGGAAGTTTGCAGAGGAGATCATGGCTGGTGAGCAGTTCCAGAAATGTGACTTTCCATGCCCGCGCTACATCACGGCTGGGGACACTCACGAGCTGTGTGTGTCTTGTCTGGGGATGCCGCATGCCCAGGCAGCTCTCGA